AGAGAGATATACTGGTAGGAATAGAGAAAAAGCAGGCATAGTGTTCCTAACTGTCTCGTGATCCGAAGCTGATTGTCCTGGACACCACATCAACAGCCACCACATATTAAGGTGAGCACAGCATAGCCACACATCATGCTGAACGAACAGGCACCAATCTAATCAGCCACCTAGAGAGCCACCATCGGACTGGGATACCAGGAACCTGAGGAGGGTTGTCGTTCGGTCCCTAGGACCATAAATTATTATCTGACTGTAGCACACCGATGCTCAGCAGAGGAGGATCACAGAATCCACGCAATCAGCAGACGTACAATTCAGCGTATAATTTTATACACGGCGTATACATAGATTTATTGCGATGATTACTCTTCATATGATATATGACTTCAATTAACAGCAATATCTTTATAATGCAGTATATTACTCGTATTAAATGCAAGAAAGTGATCGAGCTCGACATTCTAAAGGAATTTTTGGCCAATTGGATAATACGAACAGTATAGCATATATATCATTGACAACCTTCAAATGGATGACTTAAGAGTGAGGAAGAACAAGGGGCGAGCGCGCACCGAGTATATATTCATCGGTTTTCTAATATCTTAAATTCCTAGTCAACAGGTGTACACGAAAGTAAAAAACGCCGTTTGGCAGTTGGTTTGGCTCCTCTTTAGTACACAGAAGAAATGCCATTGAACGCTGTGCTAGAAGGTACATTAAAAAAGCTGCTTGTGAGTCAGTATAAATTTCTCAATCACACAACATAAAAAATTCCTAGGTATTGTTTTCTTCTTTGCCTGCCAGCTGTAACTGAGATGGTTTTCTCTTCCAACTTACGACCCGGCTACAGTAACAAGTTTTTTCAGACTCGATTAGAATCCGATCCAAGAGGGTCCATTGTGCTGGCAACATTGTGGGCGCCATTCGAGAATGCGCGAAGCCTTTCTATAGTCTCCATTCCTCTCCTTGACTAATGAAATAACGAATTGATACCCAAGCCACGTTTCGATAATATCTCACTTAAAAGGGCCGTCAGAGTCATGGAAGAAAAATGGCAAGGCTAATGACATCCTGTTAAAGAGTTACTCAAGAGAAAAATCGACACGAACAGTCTATATACACGTCTGGGTGGGAAGCCTGGCTCGTCTTATAGGGCTGCCTATCAAAGAAGAAATACAATAGATCAACTTTTCTCTTTGTCTAGATACATGAGAGAAAGGCCGTCCTTACTTCGGACTAAGCTGATAGAAAAATAAGAACCGGTTGAGGATTGTAGTCCCACCATAAATGATATTTGTAGCTTACGTTTAGAATATAAAAAAACGTGTCCTGTCTACATTGTATAATTACCTGACAGAACGAACTGTGCAAGAAACCGTCTCTTATTCAGTCCCAATGTCCTTACCGACTCAACGAAAAGTATATCATACTGCTGTCATGACCTACAAATTGTTGACGGAACAAACCTGGGAGGGTTATAGGCTGGCTTGTTATGTCTACTGGAGCAAAACGTTTTGCTGACCAAACAGCGTCACTTAGGTCTCAGAAGTACATCTTAAGCTCACTCTCCATACATACTGGAGGCTTAGAACAATCAGCAGACTATTGAAGTCCACTGTGTAAGTATACCTGTGTGAGAGGATGAGCCTCAACTCGAATATTCGTATTGACTTACAATTGAATGACGAGATGATGTATCAGTAGGAAAGACATGGCCGTATAATCAACAGGTCAAGTTAGAAGCACAGCAGACTAAGCAGTTAAACATCAAAGATGAATGTTCCAACGTAGCATACATTGGATGACTGCGAATTGCATATATCACTCGTACATAGTGAAATAGAGATGTCAGCTGTCTGTGGTAGATCACCATCAAGCGGCATCTTTACGCAAGTAGTAAAAGTGAAAAGGAGAGTAGTCGAGCCACACACAGAGTTGAGAGTGTGGATCAATCATGACCGATGAGCAACTATGAACACTGATTTGAGATCAATATTGAATACGACTCAGTTCATATGCGTTATGAATATCATAATATTCTAAATATCTCCACTATATTGTAAACTCTTTGTTATTGACAAATACTTTAATAACTCCATCAGTATTTATCATGGACTTTGATGCCCGAAGCCCTAATTTGCGAATAAACCTGTTTTTTTGCTTCATATTTGGTCGTAGATGTAAGATATATAGTGTGAATAGTTTGTGATATAAATTAAGAATTTTACTCTAAACAGCTGGCAGTTGAGTAAATATACAATCACCAATACAACCAGTCCCAGCCAAGAAGGAAACTGGATTTGGAGGCGCACAGGACCATATATATTTCTATGTCGTCATTTGCACTAACAGTTGAATCAGGTGATAAAACTGAAACTTAGAGATACAACTCAAAGCTGGGATGAGTCTCCTGTTCCTAGTCACCAGAGGAAATCTTTTCACATCTGTCCTTATTCCCCAGTCATCTCGTCCCTATAAACTGGGGATATCCATTATCCAGCACCGAAGGCTGGCTGCACACTGGTCTACGATTTATCGTTAGCATTTCTTACGTAACAACCAAGGTGATATCTGCCGAACTTACAGGAGATCTACTACTTCATCGACGGTAAGCCCTGTGTAGTCACCACTTAGTAGATTGTGTACCTACCGTCCTGTCACATTCTCGTAGACGCAATCAGCACGAGGGATAAGTAGGAGTCGTCCTCGGTTCCTCATCGAGGTCTTAAAGTAAATCTCTCTCCAGAGAGAATATTTTTAGATAAAACCATATTCGATAAATTAACAAATATCGCGTGCCATGCAGGGGAGCTGAGCAATCCTGAAAATAGCTGAGAGTTCTAATTAATGATAGAATGATCTGAGGCGTTTTGAAGTGTGTATTTTTGAATATCATTAATACCAACATCCAGGATCGCTGCAACTCGACTAGAGTGAATCGAGTCCCCGATGCAGCGACTCTTCAGCGATTTTCCAAAGACTGATTTCCCATCCTTTGGGAACGACGACTGTTTATGCGTTTATGCTCTATTACCGGTATCCACTGTTACGAACGATAAAGCAGGATTGGGATTTTCTAATATGGCCTCGAAGCTTGAAGCTACAGGGCGGGTCGTCTTTCCACACAGTTCTTCTCGGTCCGATTCGCTCTTTAGAAACTAGAACCTGCCTTTTGGTCTCGGTTTAAATCAACATACTGACGACTTCCCTTTTGTAATAATACGAGAAATTTACCTTGATACGAGGCCTCGCCCACATCCAAAACCTAAGATCTCCTAGCGATGTTCAACAAAAGACCCTTCTGCCTGCCTCCTCGCGGTACGGACGATACCCGAGCCTGTCCACGTCCCACTGAGCTCGAGCTTGAAAAAAGAACAAAGAATGCACAAAACAGAGCGCTTGCCATGCGCCGTCTGAGGAGCGGGTTATCCCACTACAACCAGTCCAGTCAAATCCCAGAGATGACAGATACAGTAATCCTTTTCAATGCAAAACTGGAATCATTAAATTCCATGAACTGAGAAGGCAATAGTATTCGTTCAGCCCAAAGAAATTCCGCGAGAAAAGCTATCACCGAAGACGTCGTTCCTCTCCAAGCGGTAAAGAGCACTGGAATCGAATCTAAAGGGGTGGACCCGGCTGCACTGCTGATTTGGACAGCCTCAGTGCAGGTGATGTATGCCAAAACAAGGCGGCGCTCAGAGGCCGCATCCACGGTAATGTATGTGGTGTGCACATTATTAGGGAACAGTTAAAATGCTGCAATTAAAAACTTACCACGCATTTATGAATACATATATATATAATATAACGTAATTCAAATTTAACAAAAGGAGTAGCGTAAAAATGAATCACTAGAGGGCATGTTTCATAAGTCGACGAGACAGTGCTCACAAAATGAATCTGAAAAGTTTTGATCGATAGTAAAATCGATCAGTTGTTTCAATCATGATGGATGCATGTTGAAAAACTATTGAGTGATCTACATAATAAATCGTCGAAATTTCGGAAAATACATATATATCAGGCGTTACACCTAAAGAAATACTACTATAGTCATGAATTCTGAACGATTGGATGAGGCAAGGAAATGCTTCCCATATCCAGTACAACACGTAGCATGAGAAAGTTATTGTTAATATGAGATCCACCGGCAGTCCAGCACCACAGGACAGCGAC